GCAGCGCGGATTCAGAACGCCGTTGCCTAGCATCCATCTGGCGAATCTCCGCTCTCTACCCAACAAAACGGATGAACTACTTCTGCTCTCCCGGACAAATAAGGACTTTTCACACTCTGCTGCTCTGTGTTTCACGGAAACCTGGATTTATTATTTTTTTGTGGTTTATATTTATGCATGTGTATTTTATTCACATCTCATTTTTATTATCTGTGTGCTGTTGTTGTCTCCGTGTACTGGAAGCTTGTGACACTGTAACAAATTCCTTGTATGTGCAAACATACTTGGCAATAAAGCTCTTTCTAAAGCTCTTTCTGATCTGCACTGCTGCAGAAAGGCATGTGTGCATGAAGCCAATGCTTTCATGTTCTGTAAAACAGACTCGTTTGGCATTGCGCTTTACTCAAAAGTCTGCTGTAGAGTAACTTACTCTATTACTGTCTGCACATAGCAGGCTTACTACTAGAGAGAGTTGTGAACACTGTCTTTCTGTCTTAAAGTTAAACAGAAAAGACTCAAGAATTTACTTACACAAACAGGACACAAAACATCAGTTAAAGAAATAAACGCCTTTTGTTGTAGAGTCAGTCAGTGCAGTTGAATCTGCTGTTAATTCAACACCATGTGACCAGCATCATTTTAATTCAAATATATATTGAAATTTGAGGATAACCTGGTCAAGCAAATAACATGTGGTTTCCAGACAAAACCTGCCATTGAGTCAAAATCTCATCTCATCGTCTCTGTAGATGTCATTGTCACTAGAGAAGACACACCTTCAACTGAAAGCCATGCGACTGCAATTTCCCATTGATATTTCCACATCTGGCAGCAGCTTTCATCTCAAGCGTCTTATATCGCATTCAGGGTGTGTTTTCATGACTTCAGGCCAGCGCTTGAGTTATTTTCTCACAGCGTTTCCTGATCTGTGCAGATCAACATTCTGTATTCCCACAGCAAAATATGATTTTAGGAATCTGGCCTGTGCTTCACCTCATATTTTTATATAAGTCATGGTTGATCAAATAAGCTTGTGAGAGTTCTTGAGGATCTTTACAGACCGCAGAAGAAAAAGAGGAAGATGCTGCAGACGCTCAGGAGGAATCACACAGACGGCCTGAAAGGACAAAACAGAACGAGAAGAGGAGTGTCTGAAACAGGGATGAAGATGCTAAAATAAACACACAGTTACTGTGAGGAGTCTCCTTTGACAGAGCTGAGCTGAGGCTGATGATGGAAATACTCAGAAATACTGAGCTGACATGTGCAGAACGAGGAGGACTTCTGTGGCCTGAACCACTCATTCAAGGTGATGTCAAATAAACTGAATTTTGATCTTCTTAATTTTGATTTCTCTTCCTTTCTTTCTTTACTGAATTACTACTGTATGCTGGTAACGCAAGACGTTCATCACCTCAGAAGATCTCCCAACTCTAAATGGATGATTTGACCAACTTTCCCGACCAAACACACTTTGCTTCTGAATAATCCATCAGTAAGTGCTTTAACACACATTTCTTCATTATAATTCAGCCTTTTCAAGAAATGGCTAAAGAACTTTTTCATCAACAGTTGACTCATTAATAATAGCACTTTCTATTCTCTCTCTATTCTATTTTTTTTCTTCTATTTATTAAAAAAAATACAGTGTTAGACTAACTGGGACTTGTCACAGCACTTGTTGGTTTACTTGATTGTATTGTCATCGTTTGTAAGTCGCTCTGAATAAATGATTCATTGTAATGTAAACGTGCTCTGATATGAGCATGAACATGCGGCGCCCTCTTCTGATTCTACAGAAACACTACAGCAGAAAGAGCTGAAGCGTTTGCTGACTTTACTCAGCAGCATTTCTGCAGAATCATGCAAATCAAATGGTTTTACTTTCATTTTTTAAGATGCTCGAAGGCCCATTAGGTGTTTCTGCACTGGAACTAATAATCACAATCATCCACTGTAAGTGCATTACTATAAATGCATTTCATCTTTGTTTTCACTGATGGATGATTTAAAAGAATTTCCTGCAGAAACAGACCACAGTATAAACTGTATTCAACCTGGAATCTGTTATCCCTTATTACACACACATGGGGAAAAAAAATAATAATAAAAACAAAGAAGTTAATTTAGTTAATTGTAGTCACTGCATTTAAGACATTTATTATTTTCTATTACATATGCAGCTAGCTAGCAGCTAAATATTATAACTTAATCCTAACAGGAAACTTTCTGCAATTTGTACAAAATAAAGAAATATAAATATAAATTAATATATATTAGGGATGCCACAATTCTCAATATAATATTGAACTGTTCGGTACGGCATCCACAGTTCAATACGTGCTTGTGAATCACGGTTTTTCAGTTTTGTGTTTTTCCAAACAAACATTGTACCAGATTTTAATCGTTCCAAATCTTTGCTCGTGGTTCTGTTCTGTTTGGGTGCATGAAAGGAGTCCTCTGGAGTCCAGCATGAATGAAGAAGACATTAAACGTGCTTATAGCACTCATTAATGACCAATCCATCCTATTTTGGGTAAAAATAGGAAAAATAATACTTCTCTCAATAGAAATTTGAAGTAGACACAGGGGCGGTTGTAGGGTGACTGGATATCCGGGGTTTAGCCCAGAGAAATTAATGTATGTATCAGAATACACGGCATACACTTCAAATAAAATAGGCTATGTTGAAAAGTTAAAATGGCAAAGTGGCTTCATTTTTTTAAAGAGAATTACATATTTTGCACTTACAAATGGCATAAATAATATTATGAGATTAATGTTTTAAGTATTTAGAACACAGAAATATGAAATGATAGAAAAAATAGAATGACACTTTTAAAAAATTCAACTACAATTACCAGTAGGTGGCAGCAAGCCACTGAGTCGTTGAGTCATTTATTCAATTGATTCGTTCAAAACGGCTGATTCATTCAGGAATTAAGTAAGAAACTGTTTTTTTACGAATGGGTCAGTGAATCAGAACCGAACCAAAACCGTGGTTAAAAGCCGAGGTATGTATCGAACCGTGGGCTGGGTATTTTGATAATTCACTCATACATTTATCAGGAATCATATGATGCATGTTAATTTTATTGAAGACAAAATAATTTTACAGTAACAGTGAATTTTAAAATATACTACTATTAATATATCTATAAAATAATTGGCTATTGTATCATATTAATTTAACAAAATGTGATTTCCTTCATATTTTTTGTCAGATGAGTGTAAATATTTTTATTAGACTAGAAATGTTTTAAATAAGTTCACAGATTTGTTACACAATCATTAAAAATTAAATTAAAAATAACTTCAGAAAAAATATGATTATAAAGACACAGGAGACAAAAATCAACTAATAAGTACTGATATGAATTGATCTAATATTGCTCTCATTCATTTCTAATATTTCATTATTGATTAGTGATATTGATCTAATGGAGCACTTGTGTCAATCTGACTGATTTCTGATGATGATTTTTGATCATGGTGGCTCAGGTATCGTATCATGTGAAGGTCAGAAGCCACACGCAGGACGCGACGAGCCACAGGCCTGGACCGAGATGAAGAGCTGTTGCAGATCCTGAAACACACACCATCATTAGTGTTTGATCGACACATCACAGGTCTGAGGTTAATCTGGTAAATAATGAATCTTAGTGGATCAGAGAAAGTGGGCGTGGCTTCACCTTGTACAGTGACTGTTGCTGCAGCTGATTGGCCGGGAGCCGTTGACTGCGTGCCGGTGCCGGTGACAGTGCCGGTGCCGTTAGCGGTGCTGTTGTTTTGGGCGGTGACAGGTGCGGATGTGCTGGAATCGGCTCGGCCTCCTTGCAGACCCACGTTCAGTGTGTCTAACTGAGACTGTGGCTGTGAGGCGATCCAGGCCTGAACCACAGAGTCCTTCTCAAACACCTTCAGATCGGCCACAGCCGAACCCATGAGAGCGCGCACATCAGACACGCTCAGACCCTGAAACACACGCGGCATACAGTCACACTGACATCCACACTGAGAGGAACGTGTGTGTGTGTGTGTGTGTGTGTGTGTGTGAGAGAGAGAGCATTTGTTACCGTCACAACAGGTATGCTGAGGCTTCTGAAGGTGCTGATGTCCATAGTGATGTTAGAAGAGGCATATATATATATAAAGCAAGACAGATTCTCAATTTATGATGCATCATGTCTCGAATGCAAACTATAATGCACATCCACATGTCCTTTATGTTGTTTAAAATTGAATTAAAATCAAATACTGCCATACTATTTGTAAAAACTGAAATGTATGGTTCAGATTGCTCAGTTCAAATAGGGATATGAGTTTGCCCTAAACTACTGCACCCAACCAAAATCCAATTGAAAGCTAATTTTTGAGATATCAACTTCAAATTTGGGACACATCTTTAGTTTTATGGCTTTGATTTTCTAGCAGTTTTAGATTTCACACACATTTTCATCACTTCTGCATAAACCCTCTATGAGATGTGTGTGTGTTTTACCGAGGTATGGGCTGATGAGATGGAAGTAAATAGGGCCGTTGCTGCGTTGAGCTCTGAACGAGGAGTTGGCAGTGCTGTACAGAACTGATTTCTGCTCATATGAACACAAGGACAGATCCAGAACTTCTGCATTGCTGCACACGACGAGAGAGAGACATGAATGACTGAATGAATGAATGAAGTGAACTGGTAAATGTGTGTGTGTGTGTGTGTGTGTGTGTGTGTGTGTGTGTGTGTGTGTGTGAGAGAGAGAGCATTTGTTACCGTCACAACAGGTATGCTGAGGCTTCTGAAGGTGCTGATGTCCATAGTGATGTTAGAAGAGGCCAAAGCCCTCACGTCCTCAACCGGAGCGCCACCTACACACACACACAAATGTGTGAAAATGTCCTCACTAATACAGTGAAACATGTTGAGCACAGCTGACTGTATGAGAGATCCATAAATCATGTTTTGCATTGTAATCCTTTCTAAGCTTGACAAAATATATCTCATCGGTAAGCTCCAAGACTTTAGTTTTCATAGTTTGTGACTGATTTTCTGTAGACTTAGCATAAGTCATTTGTGACATGCATACATCAGAGTCATAAGGTGAGGTCAGACCTTTATTATAAAAAAGCGATAGAAAATCATGCAAACCTCAGTAGATCCTTTGGTTAGTTTTCATGAGGAGTTGGCAGTGCTGTACAGAACTGATTTCTGCTCATATGAACACGGGGACAGATCCAGAACTTCTGCATTGCTGCACACGACGAGAGAGAGACATGAATGACTGAATGAATGAATGAAGTGAACTGGTAAATATGTGTGTGTGTGTGTGTGTGTGTGTGTGTGTGTGTGTGTGTATGTGTGTGT